ATATATATATACACACATATATACTTTTTTACATACATACTGTACATGCAATGTACATAATAATAATAATAATAGTAGTAATAATAATAATAATAATTATTATTATTACTATTATTATTATTATTATTAAAACATGATTAGATTTTCTTCATGTTTTAACATTTGTAGTGAAACTTTGTGTACTGGTAAATAATGAACTGTTCCACTTTATGTGCTTCAAGATAAACAAACCAATCTTGTTAAAGTTGCTCTTAAAAATGCTCCAAGCAGCAATAAAGAGTTGATTTAGATTTTTATTGTGAGGAAACATTTCTTCACTCGGTCATCTTCTCTTCTGCACACTCTCCACTTGAGTCCAAGAAATTATGACGAGGTTATAAATCAGAAGAACTTCCTGCTGCTCTGACGGGCCGTCGTGGTAAATTATTCAGTTATTGTTCAGAGTGCAACAACTGTAAAACATCAGCTACAGGACGTTCATTTAAAACTCACTTAATTCTTATTTAGGAAACAAACAAAAAAAAAGTTCAGCGAGATATGGAAATGTTTCCTCTGTCAGATTAGTAATGAAATAAAATGAAATACCAGCAAACAATGTGTTGGATTAAAACTTGTTCTTGTTATGGAGGCTCAATATAAGAACTGTGGCTCCATCCTTCTTCTTTTAAAACCTTCAGCTCATTTAGGACCTTCCTGCTCTCACTTCTGGTGTTTGTGCAACTTTTACTTTTTGAAATATTTAGCATTGTCGGCCATGTTTTCCTCATTGAAGATGAATGGAGCCCTTTTCACGTCCTTCAACCATTTTAGCTGTTTACATCTGTTTACTACTCATTTCATCTGTTCTTCTGCTTCAAGCTTTGTTCAGCTTCTTTCTGCTAATTTCAGCTTTTTGCTTTCTCAGCTACTTTATAGCTGTTTTTAATGTTACTTTCCAACATTTTGTACTGTTTCTAGCTTCTGATGCTTTGTTGCTTTTTGTTTTAAATAGCACTTTTTAAAAAAAGCACTCTGTAAAGCTAGAACTTTATATTATTCATATTTAATTGATGAGAATAAAAATAACTCTGGGTTCCTTTTCACTACCATAGCTAGTCTAATGAAAAAAATCATATCTCTGTTGAACCATGTATCCCTACAACTATAAGCAGTGATGACTTCATGAGATTATTTATAAATAAAATAGTTTCAGTTAAGGGAGAAAAAATCAAACCAACATTCCTAGTATCGCCTCTGGTTCTGTGTCAGATGAGACAACTTTCAAAATGTCTCTAGAACCTGATTTATGTTTGGACTGTTTTGGTCCTGTTGAGCTCTGAACTGTCAAAAATAATAGCTTCATCCAAACCATCCAAATGTCTGCTAGATCCCATCCCAACCAGGCTATTTAAAGACATATTTCCCTTAATTAATAACCCCATCTAGGATCTGTCTAATTTGTCTCTAATACAGTAAATGGCTACATACCACAGAGCTTTAAGATTGCTGTAATTAAATCTTTAGTTAAGAAACATAACCTTGACTCAAGAATCCTAGCCAATTATAGACCTATATCTAATCTAATTTTCATCTAAAAAAATCTAGAGAAAATAGTTGCAGGTCAGTTACATGAACATGTATAAAGAAATAATCTGAAGAGTTTCAGTCAGGTTTTAGAGCTCACCACAGCCCTGAATCTGCACTGGTGAAAGTTACTAATGATATTCATGGCCTCTGATAATGGACATGTGTCTATAATTGTCCTGTTAGACCTCAGTGCTGCATTTGATATAGTTGATCATAATATTCTACTACAGAGGCTTGAATAAGATGTTGGAATTACAGGAACAGCTCTAAAATGGTTTAAATAATCTTTATCTGATAGATTCCAATTTGTAAATGTAAATAATGAATATTCATCATACACCAAAGTTAGTGATGGCGTTCCTCAGGGTTTAGTGCTTGGACCAATGCTCTTTACTTTATATATGCTTCCATTAGGTAAAGTTATTAAACAGCATGGGATAAAATTCCATTGTTATGCTGATGATACACAATTATATTTGTCCATAAAACCCAATGAATCCAATCAGCTACTTAGACTACAAGCATGCCTTAAAGACATAAAAACCTGGATGACCCTAAATTTTCTGCTTCTGAATACAGACAAGACTGATGTTTTCGTTTTTGGACCTGAGCATCTCACTATTATTCATTATCTTCATCTACAAATGATGCAGAAAAACTGGTTCATGCATTTGTCACATCTAGACTGGACTATTGCAATGGTTTATTATCTGGGTGTCCAAATACTTCTTTAAAAAAGTCTTCATTTGATCCAAAATGTTGCTGCCAGAGTCTTAACTGGAGTTAGTAGGAGAGATCATATCTCTCCAGTTTTAGCTTCTCTCCAATGGCTCCCTGTCAAATCCAGAATATAATTCAAAATCTTACTTCTAACATACAAAGCTCTCAACAACCTAGCTCCATCTTATATTACAAATCTTATTGTTTCATTTATTTCCAACAGAGCATTTTACTCTCAGACTGCAGGTTTACTCACAGTCCCCAGAGTTTCCAAAAACAGAATGGGAGGAAGATCTTTCAGTTATCAGGCTCCTCTCTTGTGGAACCAAAGTCCAGTTTCTGTCCATGAGGTTGACACATTGTCCAGTTTTAAGACTGGGCTTAAGACTTTCCTTTTTGATAAATCCTAGTTTGGGTTGGCTTGTTATGCTGCTATAGGCTTAGACTACTAGAGGACAAATTGACCTAATTTCCTTAAAAGATTTGTTTAAATTTAACAGTTTTCATTTGATATTATTTTTATTTAACATGTGATTCTCGACCTGCCATTGTGTATCTGTTCCTCCTTCCTGTTTCTCTCAAACCCAGCCGGTCGAAGCAGATGGCGCTTGTCCTGAGCCTGGTTCTGCTAAAAGTTTCTTCCTCATGAGGGAGTTTTTCCTTTCCACTGTTGCCTTCATGCTCAAGATGAGAGTTCTGTGATGAAGTTAAATTCAAAGCAGTCTGCTCCTCAGATAAATAATGTTAAATTATTATTTTATCTATGAATGTTTCTGTTCAGTGCCCTGAGATGACTTCTGTTGTGACTTGGTGTTATATAAATGAACTGAACTGAAATTAATTTCAGGTGGGCTTTTTCTGCTAATTTAGTCTTTTGTCTTTTGCTCCTTTTTGCCAATTTCAACATGTTTCTACAAGTTTTAGCTTCTTTCTCATAACTCTTACATTTTTTTCTACCTTTGGATATTTTTCTTCTAATGTAAGTGACTTTGCACCTTTTTTGTTTCATTTGCTTCAACTTAGTCAGTATTAGAGATAATGAGCTGGACTTTAGAGTAGGGTAATAGTCGAGAGTGATCCACTACACATGCTGAAGGCAAATTATAAATGTAAAATGGCCGCCAACGCTAAGAGGAGCCGTCTGTAGACAGTTTGCTGTCGCAGCTGGAGCTCTGCAGCCGTGTGACGTAGAAAACTCAAACTTTACAGCTCGACACTTAGTGGATCAAAGAGGATTCCTTTAATGACAGGTCAGGGTCAAAGGTCAGGATCAAAGGTCAGGGTCAAAGGGCAGCACTTTGACTCGCTCTAAAATGTTCTTTCTGATCCTTATTTCTTGTTTTGCATATTTCTGCTTTCTTGAGATTCTTTTAACTTTTTTCCTGTGAAATGTAGCCATTTAATTCTCCTTTCAGCTGATCTAATCTTATATTTTTCTGTTTTTAAGTTTAATTTTTGCTCCTTTCAGCTCATTTTTCTCCTTCTAATTTTCTTCAGCAGCTTTCAGCAACAAGCGTTCACGCTGCATTTTATCCTTTTGTAACATGTGAGTTAAAACACAGATTACTGGTACAGCTTAGCGTCGTTTTGGTTCATTAAAACATTTTAAATATATATACAGACAAGTGAAAAGAGCTGAACAGGTAATTATTATTCAGGCAGGTTTATTTTATGGTGTCAGTCTGGACTCGTTGCTGTTTTAGTGCCCTCAGATAACTTTTATTGTGAATGGATGCAGCAGAAATCAGATCAGATAAATAGATTTTCTGTTTTGAATTCAAAGGAAAAGCCGTGGTGTTCTGAGTCAGGTGAACTCAGAGCTTGACTCCGCCCCTCACAAAGATTTTATCCAATCAACTGAGTCCCACGGAGGTTTAAACTCCTTCAGGTGCTGCAGATTGAAGCCTCTGTCCCTGACTCTGTTGGGATTAAATAAACTTCTGAAGGTGCTGTTGTTTTATTCCAGCAGCTTTCTGATCTGATTCTGGGACGTTGGCAGAGCGCAGGAACACCGGCTCTGCTGCTGCTCTGAACAAAAGCACAAGTGAGGAGAACCAGATCCTTCCAACAAGTTCAACGCTCTCTCAAACACATGTGTCATCTGTGACAGGAGACGTGCACTGGCATTTAAATCTGCAGCGTGTGTGTGTGTGTGTGTGTGTGTGTGTGTGTGCGTACTCGTGGCGAGCAGCTTGCGTGTGCGCAGGAAGCTGATGGCCAGCCTCATGATGGAGGCCTTGTCCAGGTGGGAGCTGATGCTGTGGGGTAACGGCAGCTGGTGGGCCAGCTCGTAGAAGACTTCCGTCTCTTTGCTGCGCCGGCAGCGTGCCGCGTCCCGAGACTTCTCCTTACGCCGCTCCGAGCTGCTCCTGCAGCACAAACAAACAAACAAATAAACAAACAAACAGTTACACCTTCAGTTTGTGACGACCTGGTGTTTTAACCCTTTGGGTCAATCATCGAGCAGTTTTTGAGCTCCATTTGATGTGAAGGAGTTCTGTCTGAGAAACCTTTTAGAGCTTTACACCAGTTAATGAAAGCTGAACTCACATCCACATCGCTCTGCCTCCCCTCCCTGCTGAGGATCCTTAGGGTGTTTGTGGTCCACATGACAAATGTTTTGGTCACAGCCATGAACGAGCAAAGAAACTGGCAGGGAATTAGATCCAATGCTACATTTTGGAAAGTTGGCCCTCTATAGGGAGAATGATTTGCACGTGAGTTAATAATGCATAAGGCAGAGAACAGCGTGGAACTTCAAATTTTATACTTTGATTTAAAAAAGCTTCTTAGACCTAAAGAAAATTACCTTTAAAAACACTGAGACAAGTCCAGCCACCTTTATTAACAAACAACACGTGCTCCACTGATGTCCCCGTCTCTGAGGGGTTTGAACAATGAGTAGATTTGGAGATGAGTGTTTTTCTGGACTAAACTTGAACAGGGAATGAAGTAAACCTAACTGTTTTTGATGCAAGATGTTCAAGTATGTAGGATTTGCACCGTGGAGATGAACAGAGGGAGGTGTTTTTTGTCTGAGGCAGAGCAGAGTGACGGATCCTGGAGAGACATTTTATCCAGCAGCAGGAGCAGTGGAGGAGTCAGGGGGTGGCTAAAGGGGGTTTTGGTCACAATAAATTAATCTTCAGCCACCCCAATCATTTGAGGAAACTATACTTTTAAGCAATATAAAAACTAGAAAGCATGGTTTCCTCAAATAATAGGAGGGGGCAGTTTACATATACCTGTATTTTTGGTGGTGGCCATCTTGGATTTTGACGTGGCAACCCAATTTTTGATAGAGACCTTTTTTATGACTAGAAGCAGCCACACACCAAAATAAACCATTAGGAAGAAATGTGGGTGGGAAAGGTCAAGCACCCACATTTTCCCCACAGCCCTTGAGCAAGGCCCTTATGTGTGGGCTGTGGTCGCTCGGTGGCTTGTGGTTGCTTTATGGTATAAAACAACGGCAGAGTCTTTGTGCGGGTTTGTTCGCTGTAGCGACTCTTGACGAAGAAAGCAGTTTAACGAAAAACAAGTTTAAGTGAAAAGCTATAAGACCATCTTCAAGCAGCTTTAGGCCCCACTGACCACGGCTGACTAAATAATTCAAAACTATAAGGTTCACGGGACTCAAGACTAGCATTCAGGATGTGGACGCAAGAGGAAATGCAACCCCCAGGTCGATCAAAGAGATAATGTGGATTGTACAAAAACAACCAAGGAAACCATCCAAACTCATTTAAAACAAACTCCAGGGTTAAGGTACGTCACTCTCTAAACACTTTATCTATTTTATTTTGAATGAGCAGCATGAACACCAGGAAGGCTCCAGAAAAACACCAAAATGTCAGAAGTTTCTGGGACTGATGAGACCAAACTGGAACTTTTGGTGAGTCCCATAAGTTGGGTTTTCTGATTTCTTGGAAAAGCACCAACAAATATATCGACATAGATCAAACATCTGCTCTGTACCAGTTCTTCTGATAAAAAAGTGTTTGTTGTGTTTAATAAAAATATAAATCCCTTTCTGTATTATGTTTTGGACCTTTTGTTTAATTGTTTAGCTCTGATTATGAAACAATGACGCATTAGTTTTCTTGTGGTCCCTTTGGATCATGGTGACTGGCGTCACCAGAACCCCTCAGGGGGGTCAGCGCGACATGCACATCCATCCCTTCTGCTTTTTCATCTCACTGTGTAAGTCTGCCAGTCTCACTGTGGACGGGGACATCCCTATATGGGACGAAACAGGAAGTGACTTAAACTCTGAGAGGTTAAGCAGGTTTGGATCACACGCTATTGTTCCGGTGCAATGGAAAAACTACTATAGGTAAAGATAGAAAACGAGCCAGAAATAGACAAAAACACTTTAACCCTGTACGTTGTAATTTCCTCATGAAGGAAACTGAGGAGTGTCTCCAACTGTCTCAACGTGTTGGATCCATTCAGCTGTGACTCATTTCACCTCCTCGTTAAGTCAAACAAGCCAAAAACAAGGCACAATTTATTGAAATTGAAATATTCTGATGAAACATTGAGGTCTCCAAATGCAACTTGGTGCCAGAAACTCCAACATTCATCAGCGCTCTTCTCCAAAGTCCCACATTAAAAAATGTGTTTTTTGTTTGCGCTGACAACATGCCAACAGTTTGATGTATAAACTGTATGAGAGCGGTGAGGAGAGTCTGGGTCAAAAGATGAATATCTATGTTCAAGATAAACACTTTAACACCATCTTCAAGCATCTTTATGTTCCACTGAGCACAGATGACAAAATCATTAAACAACTGTAAGGTTCATGGGGCTGAAGCCATGTTCTTAGGATGAGGACGCAAGAGGAACTGCGACTCCAGGTTAATGAAACAGATAATATGCACGGTAAAACCATCTAAACCCATTCAAGCCAAACTCCATGGTTAAGGTACACCTGTGTCTGTCACTCCCTGACAACACTCCTAATGAGACAGGCAGACAGCCAGTGTAGGCCTGTCACGATAAGGCTTGGCAACCTGTCAATAAAATACAAAACTAAAATATACATAAATTAGGCACTCCAGTGCATAAACCATGGAGTACAAAGTGTGAGAACAAAAGTAGAGGTTTTCACACCAGAAATTATGATAGTTTAATCGGGGCAGAATCAGCTAAATGAGTGCAGAAATAACCAAATAAACCGGCACAATCAGCGTAGAACAGAGTAGCACTAGCACGACAGAAAGCTAGCACAGAGCAGGGCAGATTCACCAACGACACGGCTGAACTAGAAAACTCCTGGAGAAACTTTGACAGGGACTGCCAAGTGGCGGCCATTTAAATTGTTTGGTTTGACAGTACTATATGTTGGGGTTCGCTCTCAGCTACCATCACATCAAATTTCATCTCAATATGGCAAAATAAAAAAGATAAAAATCAAAGAGTTATAATCAGTTTTTCTTTTAAGCTATGGTGGCCATTTTGGATTTTGATTAGGATTCAGTATGTGATGGGGAATGTTCTCAGGTATAACTACACCAAATTGCAGTTCTATATGTATAAAAATTGAGTTAAAGCCATTTGAATGTAGCTTTGGTGGCCATCTTTGATTTTTTTTCATTAGAATTCAGTATTTATTGAGCATTGCTCTCAGCTACCAACACCTTCAGCTTAATATCACAAAAAATGGCTGATTTATAGTGTTTTTCTCTTTTAGCTCAGGTGGTCACCCATCCATCTTTACCCACTTCTTCCTTTTAAGGTCGCGGGGGTCACTGGTGCCCATATCCAGCAGTCACTATGCGAGAGGCGGGGAACATCCAGGACAGGTTGCAAGTCCTTCACAGGGTGGACATATTTGATTTTTGATTTGCAACCAGTCTATTAGAGATTGTTCTCAGCTAACAATACAGCAAATTTTATCTGAATAGTTCTAAAAACCTCTGAGTTATATCTGTTTGAAATGAGCTTTGGCAGCCATCTTGTGGCTGCATTTCTAGGCAGTCCCCAATTAGCACTAGCAGGGCAGAATATTGCCAAAACCTATGGCAGAATTAGCATTAGGAAAATTATTATTAGCATACCACCAAAGTTCATGCTCAATAATCCAGGTAAAAATCCAACAATGTTCAGTCAGGTCATCTGGATGAGGCATTTCGTTCTTCATCCAAAGGACTTCTTCAATCTGAGGAGCCACCAAACAAACTGAGTCCCACAAACAGCACAATTACATAGTGAAAAAAAACAGTTTGCTGGTGATAAGATGGCTTCCGGGGCCTGCCCTCTCCCCCGTCAACTCCTCTGAGGTAGCCGTGCCAAAGTTGTTCAAAACACCAAAGTTCATTATTAACATAGAAATGCTGAAAGAGCAAACAAAAAGCAGGCGGAACAGAACGCCATTCTTTTTCAAAGAGACCAGAATATTTCAAAAAGTATAAACTGCACAAATATCAAAAGTCATAGCAGGAATGTCCTCAATAAAAGTTTTGATATATAAATTGTCAAAATAGCCCAAAAATTGTGGAAGGAGTTACGTGCTGAAGAAAATCTTTTTTCTTTTTTTACGTTAAAACACAGACAATAAAAATCATAGTGCTGGGTCAGATATGTGTTATTTGTTTGTTGTTTGTTGGTCTGCGTTAAGAAACAGCCCTCAGAGTGAAATGTGAACTTTGGAAAGTGGTGGGGGGCTACGTGTGCAGAGTCCAGCCACGAACATGTTCCACCTCAGGGAAACTGGTTTCAAATAAAAGACATTTATTTTCAGATAGAAGCTTTAAATAAAGACTTGGCGCCAGATGATTGTTTTAATTTCCTCAGCGTTGATTGGGTCACAGCTGTGGCGACGCAGGAAAATAAAATCATTAATTTCAACAATCAAACGGATCTTTTCAGCACCGACTGTGGGTGAGAATATCAGCCAGCAGAACCGGCTGTGAGTTTTTATGGAAATGCGTCTTTTTCCATGTCAGAGTTATGAAATCAGCCTGATTTTGATTAGAAACTCAGCCCTAAGGTCTGTGATCCAAGAGAGCAACACCGCCGTCCTTATTAGGACTTTCCACGCAGAGGTTCTGGCCGCTGTCACGGGTCCAGACCTGTCACGTTACAATGCAGCGCGCAGCTGAAAACAGAACCGGAGCATGCTGCAGGACAAGGATCTAGACTTCTCACTGATCATGATGAACACATCAGCATGGACCGAGGTTCTGACTGCAACACGGTTCAGTTTCATCAGACAAGAGGAGGAGAAGGGTGAGGACAGCATCGGCCCGAACCTTTCAGCTCCAGCCATGGCTCAGCAGGACTCTCCTAGAGTCCAGAACCAGAACAAACATTAAAACATGTCTTCATACAAAACTGTTCCAGGCTTTACAGTAAGAGATAACTA